TAGAAATGGGTTAGAACAATATGTAAGAGCTAGCCAATAAGAAGCTGGAACTAGCCGGGCCAGGCAGTGTTTGAAAGAATACAGTTTCCGTGTAATTATTTCGGGCATAAGCTAGCCATGCGGGCGGCCGGGTGCCGGGGACGCAGCCCCGCCGCTCCTATTTCAACAACACACAGATGGGCACAGACACACAGATGAGCACACACACACACACACACACACACACACACACACACACTCCTAACATGGATACCTAAGAATGGTCAAGAATCTACGAAGCCCTGTGTGCTCCTCAAGTTTGGTCCTTTTGGATCAATGTCACAGGAACTCATAGATATAGTATATAGATTTTTTTCTTGTAACCAAGTAATAAGGCTTCCAAAGCAATGGAGAGTTCAGAAACTGACTCCTCATATGGCAGGGCCACTGACAAGTCTCTGAAATGAGAACAAAAATGTTTTTGACTGTTACACCCTCTCTGTTGTCCCGTCTTCCTGAAGAATCAGAGGACCAGGACACCTGCTTCTAGATAGGGTCTTCTAATAATGAAGGGAATGCTGTACCCATGGAATCGCAACAATATGGCGGCCTCAGCTAGACCTTCACAATGACAACACCAGGGCACAAATCAATGTGGATGGGGGGCTGACATCTCATAAGGTCCCACCCCAATATGAAGAACTGCAGGCAACCAATGGGTGCCGAGAGGGGATGAACAGGTGCTCATCAGGAGCAGGGCCCCGGTAAGCTATTCGTTTCCCAGTGGTCAGCCCCAAACATGTAAATTAGAGCAGCATTAAATGGGAGCAGACCACTCCCCCCAACACACACCAATAAAAATTAATTACAGGAGTCTTAAGAGACAATAATTTGAGAGGGGGTTGGGGGATGGGGAGTTTGGGAGGGGGAGAGGGAGGGTGGAATTATAAAAACTCATGTATGAAATTTTCAAAATGTTAACGAAAAAGACATATTTGAAATAAAAAGGCCTTTGAAATGCAAAGGGAGCAGATGGTGGATGGGCTGAAATAAACGAATGTCTACGACAGGCACTCCAGAGTGAAGTCATGGAACGGCAGCACACGTGGAGAGCATGGCTGCTGTTTTCTGGATCTTCACGTTTGTAATTTACACAAGCTAGGGTTAAAGTTCCTGCATCCACTGACTGAAGAGCAGTGACAGCTACCTGTATCTGAGAAACAACCCAACTTTGGCTGTATTATAACAACAACAACAACAACAAAAATGAGGTTCTACGAATTCCATTTCTTTGTCTGTAATACATTAATACATTAGCTACAATAAGGTAACATTTGTTTTAGTTCACTAAAATGAATGGATGTTTAATTATTCTATAATTTATGATAGTACCATGCTCCAGCTACAGTTTTAAGTTCCTGAAACTTAGAGAAATGTAAACCTTTTCAAGGATACAGATTAGAGCCCCGGTTGGCCTTGCATAACCAAGGTTAAACAAAGACTAAATGCTCTTGTGTTTTTACGGCTGCTACTCGGTAATTTGTCTCTGGCAATGCCCAGGCAACAACCCTGGAGGAACATTATTAGAATTCAGGTAATGGTGGTGTGGCTGACACATTAGAATGAAAAATTCCTCGGACACAGTGTAATTTTTTGGTTTGTTTCAACTTCTTCTTTAGTTACAAAATAAGACTGTGAATGCTTATGAGAAGCAGGTTAGCCTCTCAATTAAAATGCCAGAATAGCATGGTGTTTTAGCAGCAGGAAGGTCAAAAGGCACACTGCCCTCTTCTTCGTCTTTCCTTTTGATCCCTCCACTGACTAGTGTCATAAAAATATCTACTTGAAAAGCTGTCACTGTCAACAGAAGGACTAGAAAAATTGAATGTTCCTAAGCGATTATAACCCGAGTCATAGCACACAGCTCTATACTGACAAGCAACAATCCAGACTATTAATAGCTTCCCTGCCTTATGATAAATACAATGACACATTCAACACAATTTCCCATATAACTGTTGAAATCATGAAAGTAGATATTTGGAACAGATGGACATGATAGAATGTCTGCAGTGTATGTTTAAAAATGATATGAAAATAGTAAGTCATCAGACTTCAAAACAATGTGCACTCGCTCCTATAAGTGTTGATAACAATTACACAGGGCTTTCATCTTCCTGGGAGCTGCCAAATCCGGGGTGGCTGAAGATGTCTGATGGTGCAATTCCTCATGGCTGTACAACTTGGTCACATAGGAGTAGCATCACAGAGTACCAGGTGCCTCGAATGACTTCCTAGCACCATAGGGGTTGTGGTTCCGGTGCACCGTGGTCCCATCACCGCATGGTTAGGTTTGCTCATTCTTTGAGGTAAAATGTAAAAATATTTGAAATTTGAGGACCGCAGCTAGGCATATTTGCGTTTTGTTCTATGCTCTTGTTTGTTTGCTTTGCCATGTTTGTTTGCATGCTGTTTCAAATAAAAACCAGACTTGAACTGAACTTAGCTCTATAAGCAAGTTTTTAAGAACAATTTTGTGTGGACATATTTGTGATAGTTGTATAGGTTAACCGGAATGAACTGATATTTTTACTATGCTATTGGCTCCTGAGCTCAAAAGTTCTACTCCTGAAAAGGTTTTTTGTTTTACTAAAACACATTGAGAGCTTCAAGGGAATCCCAATGCTTGTTGTCACCATAGGACTGAATGACAAATACAAGTTTCACGCTGAGAATCAGAGCAGTTTTCCTGGTCTCATTTTGTTTCAAAGGCAGCGAAAAGCAATTATAAATGGAAGTGTAGGTAGGAAGTGAGAGGTAATAAAAACCTTGTTTTGATCCTCCAATTAGTCAGGATATTCGTACACCAAAGAGACAAGCCACGTGGAAAACTTAAGGGCTAAGTATGAGAACTGCAACTGTAAGAGACCTGATTCAGCTCAATTGAACACTTGCTATTAAAGTCATAATTCCAGGCTGTTGACAAAGAGTAAAAAAAGATGAAGGAAGAATTCGGTGAAATGAGTGACTGTGGATGAAGAAATTCTTAGTCAAAGTAAAGGACACTCGTGAGATCACCGACAGATGAAAAACACCTGCCCATCTGCAACCGGCAAGTCTGGGGCCACACCTTGAAGGACAGCTCACAGCCACCATGGAAGAGCTGCAAGATTTCACAGGTGATTTCTCCAAACAGACTTTTCAAAGTAGTTTCACCAAGTAGTTTTCTTTGGCTATCAGTCTGACCACAGCCTCTTTTGTACTCAAGGCCCATTGAGTGTCAGTTACTGCTGTGGAGAAACTCAAGACAACCCAAGGGACTTGAGAGGTACCCTGCCACCCTCTTCCCACCCCTAGTTTTCTTGTCTTTAAATCCAGAGAATGTACTTTAACCTTGGGATGTCTCATAAGTACAGGCTAATAGAATGCTCCCGTCAACTGTGGTTTTACTGCGTCTCCTAAGTGGATGTGCCTTAAAGAAAAGTGGTCCCAGCAACAATATACTGGGCTCACAATGCTCAAGACAAGTAAGTATTTCTTTTCCCTGAGACCCACAGGTCTGCTGAGCTATGTGAAGAAGGAAACTATGTAGCTTCCTGGCTGTGAACCATGATGTTTTATTTTCAACAGAACATCATAAGCTGTATAGAATTCAGGTCCCAAATCTACATTGCACAATTGCCTGAGTCTGATGGGCTTCACCCCTTGACACAAGAACGTATTCAAATCTAATGCTGAATTGTTGAACGAGCCTATTTAAGGATCTCAGGGTATTTAAAAACCTCCCCCCGAAACTTTTATAACACATTGCCAATAACCCGAGTTAAATGAAATAATGAGACAGAGTTTCCAGAGAGTCTCAAAGAGCATTCCTCACCATCTTCGATAACAAAAGAAAAATTAATTATTTAGCATTTAGATGTAAAGGAACGGGAGGCAGGGAATGAAAAGGCAAGAAGTCGGCAGGCCCTTGATAATAAAAAGTTTACCCATTTAATCTTCTTTGATTACACTGAGGGACTTGCAGAAGACAAAATTTAATTAAGGATAGTGAAGGTTTCTGTAAAGGTTGATATACTAGCTGATACACTAACATCCTAGCTGATGAAGTTTTTTTTTATTTTATTTTAGTGGCATACAGTAAGATACCCTTGATTCTTAAATCACAGGGAATATTGCCTCTCTGCCTGGAATTTCTATTTATCCTTTCAGATTTGATGACCCCTGATTCCAGGAAGGGTATCACGCCAGGCCTGCCTTCAGTTTTAGGTTAGAAAGCAAGAACATAGCAAATTACCTGCCCAGAATCTCACAGCGGGTAAAGGAGTAGACGAGTAGAATTAGTTCTCCCTGACTCCATAGGAAGGACACACAGAGAAGACGCCTGTGTGATGACTTGGAACACAGAACCTAAGGATACGGGTCCAGTGATACAGGGACTGGCAAGCACATTTGAGAACCAACAGCAGGGAGATAACGTCATGTTTCCAGACTAAACTGGTTGGCTGCCCTGTGAAGGAACTCAGATTGTAGGCTGGGGTGTGCAGTCTTTCTTAGCAATGCAAATACAACGCTGCTGGGACCTACTCCAACGCAAAGACAATGCCGCCCCTGACTTACTCCAATGCACAGGCAATGCCGCTTCTGACATACTCTAACCCAAAGACCACATTGCCCCTTGACTTACTTATCTCCTTTGCTTTTGGAGATGCCGACCAACTTCTCGATGCCGCCAGCATCCCGTAAGGCCTTGGCATTCTCCATGTTCTTGGTGATCACTTCGTGCAGGGTGCAGCACACGGCTGTCACGGTGTCATCTGACATGGCCTTGCTCCCCGCGTTGTTGCTGTTGTTCCCTCCAGGAAGCCGGTGGACCAGGTCTCGCATGGCGTATTTGCCTTTAGGAAAGAAAATGAAGGGAACAGTTTAGGGAAGGTGAAGGTGGAAGGAGAGGGACAACGGAGAGCTGGGAACAGAAGAGGAAAAGTGGGTGCAGGACGGCACTGCCTGTTCTGTGCAGGGAGATTTCAGAAGGCACAGGGAGGTTGCCCACCGACAGCCACTGGGTCCAGGACATCCTCACCCCGGCACTGTGGATATTCAAACCTATGGAAGCCTGGGTCTCACACAAAGCAGCAGATGTCCATCTGTCCTCACACTTTCAATCGCTTCTCCATCACTTCCCTGGCTCAGTTCAGTGCCGATGCTCTGTGAAAGCAGTTGACGTCATATTGCTACAAATTCTGCACATAACTAATGTACGTGAATATTAATCACATAATTTCGATCTGCAGGTGGATGAGTCCTGGCTGAGGCACATGCAGTACTGAGGACCAACTCCAGTTGCTCAACACCAAGGCCCAGGGTCTGGTTGTCCATAGATGCAGGACTGGGTCTCTTTGGGAGTGACATTATGGCTCTAACCTTCACTGATTTCAGTTTTTAAAGCAACAACAACAAGGACATGAAATCTATAAGATCATCTTAAAGATGAACCGAGGAAATTCATGGACAGCATTTATTCCATAATTAAGAAAGAACACAGCTTCAACAGATGCCACGTTGATATCCCCGGAAGTAAATAAAATGTATGGTGACAGGCACAACCGCATGAACTCAGACTGGGATCTGTATGATGTAACAGCAGTCGTAGGGGAGGCGACCTTGACAAATTGTCTAACGCAGCAGCCTGTGTACTCTGGTCACCTTGTCTCTCCGATGAGCTTTTATTGCACGATTCTGTAATGCAGCATTAACTAACCTGGCATGTTTTTCTTCGTGTGAAAGTAAAATAAAACCCAACTTTGCTTACTTAATTCACTTTATCATTACCGGTCTTGCCTCTCCCAATGATAAAGGTACTTACAGTGACAGATTTATGGAGTGTTTTTAGAATACAAAGCACTTTAGACATTACCAACAGCCCAGCAGGACAATTAATGCATCCCACCCACAGCTTCCAATTCTGCTCCTTTAATTTACTTCTGGAAGTAAACAAGAGCCTGCAGCAAAGTCTGTTGTCCCTGAATTATTTTGGGCGGAACTGGCAAGTGTTCCAAGTCAGGTCCCTTACTCACCTCCCACCCCAGGACTAGACATATGTAGCCAGCTTCTAATAGTTACAGGAAATACTTTGACTGCAACAGACCTCTAAATGTCACCTCCTTCTGCTGAGAAACTGCCCAGTGTGTGGCAACGTGGGGCAGGAGAAAGAATCCCATGGGAATAGGCAGTATCTTAGCTCCAGGCAGTAATAAATAAAACATAGGCTCTGTTTTGATATTTTGATATCTGCTCTTATTCTTATTTTAGCATGGACAGAAAACGCTGATGTTTAAATTACGGAAATAGAAGAGCGTCTGCATTCAGTTGATGACAGTAGAGGAAGTGTCTGAGAGAAGCGCTTTGACTTGAAAACCCCCCAAAGTGGCGTATTTATTTTCTAATGACAGCATTCAAAGTCGCTTGCAGAGGATGCTTTGTGTGTGGATAGTCCTCACAGCAAATTGCTTGATATATTTATCGTTAAATCAACTCAACTCTGACGAAGAGCTTGCTTCTTGTCGAGCTCAGCATGCCTGCGGATCTATCATAAGCCACTGGAAGACAATCTGTCAACCATCGACGAAAGGAGACGGACGACGGACACGTCCTTTCCTCCCTGCCTCTGTGATGCAGGAAGTTCTGACGATTAGGACTGAGAGACACTTTAACCATCGAGTGTGTGGGACATTCACACTTTGAGTGTGGAAGACTGGTCCTGTGACCTTAATTTTGCCATGGTTGAAAGCAAAAATGTTGAGAAAAGACTCATCTGCAGAATTTCTTTGTTTGGGCTGCTGTTTTGGCTTAAAAATGCCAGGTGCAAAGAATGTGGCTTCGTTGGAAAAGGGCTTGCTTAGCACGCACAAAACACTGGGTGTGAGCCCTAGCACTTGGGAGGTGGGGCCAGAACGACAAAAAGTTCAAGGTCATTCATCCTTGCATAAACAGAAGGTTTGAGGCAAGCCAAGACTACTTGAGATCTTGAGTCTAAGTAATTAAGTAAATAAATGAGCCTATGTTGGATAATTGTGAATGTGTGATTTCTTCATAGCCTCCCAATCTGTAAAGCCTAAAGGAGACACAACTTTTCTGTAATGTTTGTGTTGGGTTCCATGAATACCTACTCAGTAGCCCGTCTCTCTTCCGCCTCTCAGCTGGTGGGCTAAAGGAACACTGAGAAAATTCTATAGTTGAATGCTTTGGTTTAATATTTACCAAAGGATCCTTGCATACACCAAAAAATGAAAAACATAAAAATGAAATGGGTGAGGTGAGCTTGCTATCATTACTGCTGCTGTTTTATTTTAAATATTATCATTCTGAATCAAACCAGATTTATTAGTGTACCTTGTCTTTAGCCACTCAGGGTTAACATTCATGTCTTGTGTCCTTTAAGAACTGTGTTTGAAAGTGCCTTCTCCAAATTTACACCCCATAATAAAGCTAATAAAATGTAAATAAGAAAGTAAATAAAGTAAAAAAAAATAATGTGAACCATTTTAGGAGTTTCCTAGATACCAAAGAACTTTAGGAAATATGGGATGCAAGACTTTAGGTATGTATGGCGTTCTGCAGACTGTTATATGATGTCACATTTGTGGTGATAACTGTCCTGTTTATCAAGAGTCTGACACAAGAGTTGGGTGTGATGGCTCTCATTCGGAATCCTAGAACTTAGGGATTGACATAAAGTTAGAGGTCAGGCTGAAACAGTATAATGATAATGATGACAAATAGAAACAATTAAGCCAACACGAAATGGTTGACCAGGGAACACAAGGAGAACTGAGCTCCCGTTTACTGTGACCAGTATCCTCATCCTGATCAGGTGTCAGGAATGACTGACAGTCTTTCAGAGAGACATATGTTCTCCTCTCTTTAAAGAATGCAACCTTTTAATACAAAGGTATCAGAGAGCCATTTCCTTTGCTGGGAATCCTGGAGTGCACTTGGATGGATGGGCAGAAGGCCTGGAGCTGTCTCACACCCTCCCATGTCTGCATCTACGCTTATACCAAGTGTGCCTGTTCTCATGTGGGTCGCCAATTAACTCCCGTGGTAGGACACGTGTCACAGGCTTGGTATTACTGGTTAGGGTGGGTACGCAACTGCAGATACCCAGCTTCACTGGTAGCAGATGATTCCTGACGTTCTCTCCTGCTTGCCTGAGGCCCAGTACCCACTGTGCCTTTGTAAAAAAGTATCCTGCTTACAGGATGCTCACACACAGTGATAAACACTAGGCTGCTGCTGACAGTCAAAACTGACATTATCAACACAATGAAGAAGTCGGTATTCCCACAGCTCATTCAGATTCCAATCAGACCACCCAGAGAAGCTGGATGGCTTACTAATCCAAGATCAATAAAATAAAGATCTAAGACCAAAGTGAAAAGTGGCTAACATCACGTTTCAAATGAGGCTCATTATAAAAGCCTCCTTCCCACTTCCACTGTCTTTATTGCCTCCTCTGACAGGTTCTACTGTAAAATTTGAACTACACTTTATTCAAATGAAGCCCTCTTCTAATGACTCCTTCAGAGTTCACTGAAAAGATCCTTGTGAAGGTTTCTAAGACACATGATAAGACAAACAGTTATCAGCAGCGACAATGACTACCACAGCAATGAAGCCTGGAAATGTAACGATATACATTGATCAGCCTGAGTTAAAACAACTCAGAGTAGGAGTTTCATACGTATTGAATGCCTTTTCTATCTGTGTACTTTCCTTAGCTATAGGTATTCATGGTGTATAATGAGTCTGAATCTCACCAGCATGTAATCAGGTAAATAAAATCTGTAACCATGACCTTACCAGCTATGTTACATTTAGAGGCAAATAAAATTCAATTAGACATGACAAGGCTATTAAGGAATTAGAGCATTTTGCATGTGAAATTGGTTATCTGCAGCCTCCTCCTAGGACACTGGCTTGGCTCAAGTCACATGGTTTAGGGGATTTCAGCCCTATAGGTAGCAAGGTCGGGATCACTGAAAACGTGAGCTCAGAACCTGGAGTAATCCACCTGGCCTTGGTAGCTCAGATGAAAAGGAATGGAGCATTTCCATCAAGAGAAAAAGCTAACTGTTGAGACCTGTTGCATACACTTCTCACTTGCTAACCACAAAGAAGTCTTTCTGAATAGATCAGTCCTGCCGACTATGTCTGTCTATAAAACTGGCAAGACGTTCAATAAATGGCCGCCAACCATACAGCTAAGCAGACGTCTATGGTGGCATCTGCACTTCAGTATGAAGAGAAGACTAGTAAGGAAAGCCAGCCCCTAGCTTGTCTGCCCCCTGGCAGCAGTCACATCAACATAAACACAGCACAGAAGATTAGCTCAGGGAATAAAGAAGCAAGAAGAGAAAAAAGAGTAAAATAAACATGCCGTCACACTCCTACAGCCCCTCTGGGCTTCTAACCATTCATCTCGGACAGATGACAGCAGGGTTATCCTATGATGAGCCTGTTTGTTCAGTGCAGTGCGAGCATCATGATACATCATGGTAAATGTGCCCTCTTTCACTCCATATATGGGCACCAGTTATTAAGGCTGGCTCCCTTCTAATAATTCATAAGTAAAATTCTCTTTCTTCTTATCTTTACCAAAAAAAATTACCACACAAATTATTCTGATCACCATTTCCCAACTCCTTCTAGATCCTGTCCACCTGCCTACCCACACGACTTTAAGTTCTTTCTCTCTCTCTTTAGAGAACAAACAAACAAAAAACAAATTGGAATTTTAAAAAAGAAACAAAAGCAAGTCACACACATAAATAAAAACATAAAAGCATAAAATTGGAAACCATAATTAATATTCAAGCAAAAGGCCAGTAAGACAAAA